TGTAATAGGGAGCCTGACACACCCTTTACCATTCTGTCACTTGGCAACGTCTTTTAATATACAGGATCCTATTAATTCTTGTGCTAATAAAGCATTTTGCACAGAACAGAGAGAGGCATTTGAGCTATTATTGGTTTAAAAGTTGCACCAATGTCTTACATTAAAGTTGTGCATTTAAAATTAATTTTTTTAAAAAAAAATTTAAAAAATTATTTGGTTGAACAACTTTTGTGACCCACTGACTGTGTAAATAAAATGTTCCTTCATGGAAGAGTGAAAAAGGAATGGACCAATATATGATGCATAGGTCTTAATGTGCCATTTTGAATTCCCTTTATCTCAGGATCAATATATATCTCCCTTAAGTTCACAATGGCCAAAGGATTTCTAAGTCAACTCTGTGCCAGGATTCGTGTTGAAATTCTGGCTGAATACATTTTGAAAAATATTACATATTTTGGGGTGCAGATTCACTTTCATCCTTGCCATGACCACAGCTCCTCTGCAGCATCCCAAGTAAACCCGGTTCTTCCAAAACCTGCAATAGTAAACTTACTCTTTTTTACAAGTCAAAGATTCATATCAAATTGGTCTTCAATCCCGAATTAGAGAAAGCTGTTTGCCTTGGACTGTTGCTTTTATCCAAACACACAAAGACATACTGCATAAACTTTTGCTGCAACACGGAAAGGGACTTGGGGCTTATTGAGAGACAGATCCCACACTTGAACCATGTTTTGCCTGCCTGGTTCCATGGATGATGATGATGATGATGATGATGATGATGATTCCATGTAATGGAATAATGATAATAATAATAATAATAACAACAACAACAACAACAACAACACAAAGCCAGTTGTAAAACACAAGTAAGACCAGCTCAATAAAAGAAAGAGAGGTGTTTGCCCAGTTAAAAGCCTCTTCTGGAGCAAGCGAAATGGTTTGCCTTAAATAAAATATGTTTTTTTACTTCTGGCTTAAGGAGACCTGGGATGGTTCATGTACATCTCATTTTAGGATACCATTCTAGATAGCAAGGGTGGCTGGATGAGTGAGAGAGGAAGTCCAGAAACTTTGGAGTTGCTAAAACCAAACAGGAAAAAAAACAAACCTACTTCCCTACAAACTAAGCTGCTTCTTATCCCAAGAGCTGTCAAACAACCCTTGCATTGTGGGTTTCATTAAAGAAAATAAATGATAAACTATTCCAAATTTTAGAATATATTTCTCGCTTCAAAACCCTAAAATAACAACTCTCTCTCTCTCTCTCTCTCTGTGTGTGTGTGTGTGTGTGTGTGAGAGAGAGAGAGTGTGTGTGTATATATGTATGTGTGTAAGTGTGTGATCCCTGCCTCTGTGTGTGTTTATAAAAAAACAACAACATAAAATTAATCATCTTCAACTTTGAGGGAGGAAAAAAAGCCAAGTACGACAGAGTCTATCTGACTGCGAACATCTGCTACGATTATGAACTGGCTTATTAATTACCAGTACTGTGATTAGACTCAATAGAGTGTTCTGTGGCATACATCTTCTCTCATCGATCCATCGCAGAGACATTGAGACCAAGTCGTACACATTTTGATAAAGAAGGATTCCGCGTCTCCTTCTTGCTCTGAAGGGGAGATATTTAGCAAGTGTTCTTCACACTCCTACCTACTGAACACGTGTAGGCACCCAGCAGCAAAGGCTCAAAACAAATAAGAAAATGGCGACACATTTGCCCATCCGGCCTCTTGCTGGTACCTCCCTGGCATTCCTGAACAGCTTTTAAGAACCCACTATGTGCAGGGCTGGGTCTTGTATGAGAAACAAACACACTTCCATGTTCTACATTAGTTGCACAAGACATGAGAGAAATCTGTGCAACTGCCCAGATTTCAAGCAAATCTGCTGTCAAGAGACTGTGTGGTGAGTAGGAAAATTCTTGTTTGTTTGCTGAGAGAGAGGACAGGACAAGATACACATCTCTAAATCCAAAGCTCCTCCATCCCTGGGACACTGCTGGCCAAAAGCAATGCCAGGCGGAGGGTAATTCTAAGTAATTTCTAGGTCCCCTATTCCAAGTTCTTCCTGGTCTTTAGACAGATAGGTTTGTGCTCTTTATTATCCACTGACGTTTGTGGTTCCTATATGCTCTGGTATTCTTGGTTGGGGAAAAAAATCAAAATGTCTTTCTAAAATGTGCCTTTTAAGAGAAAATGCATTTAAAATGTCCGCTTTAAAAACAAACAAACAAAACCCTAAAGTATCCAGAATTCTCTAGCCATCTGGAAACTGCACCTTCTTCCCAAAGTATTCTGACTGGGGAATACTTTTTCCCCTAGTTCTGTCTGCATTTAATCAATGAAATATGCATGGTCTCTTTTTCGTACATGTCCATACCATACATGGTGGACATCTTGCTAGTGGGGCCACCGTGTGGACTCTGGTAGCAGTGCCTATGAAATTTTAACCACCTAGATTTTCTCCTAGACCTTGGGATTCAGAATCACCTCATTCCAGGGAGTTAATAAAGCATCTGAGATGTGGGATCTGTTCAGAGCAGCACACAGGTGCTCCGCTTTCCATCTTTTCCATCATGTACCAACATACAACCAGTTCATACCCACATGGTATTCATAGTTCATTACAGAAAAGAAAATCTTGATAACGGTCACATGACTGCTACCCGCTCTGATTAGTAACCATGTGCAAATATGTTTGGATCACTAATCTGTAACGAGAATCACAAAACACCCAGAAAGACGAGAAATTGCAGCAAGCCACTCATGTGCCATGCAGTATTTGAATGTGTCCACATTAAATGAGAGAGTAAAAGCTGGGGACTGTAAGCTGCTGCAAAAATATTTTACAAAATTAAACAAGAGAAATCTGAGCACCCTTAGAAATCAGCTCTTTTACACTTGCTGCAAACTCTCTATCTAAGATTAAATCTAAAATGGTATGAAGTACATTGTGCGTCATGTGTTCCCCCTCGTTTCAATCACATGTATCAGGGAGCATATCTTTTGGAAGGGGGAATGCAGAGTAATTAATCTCAGTTCAGGAAACAGAAACATTTGGAGTAGCCTTAGTCTCTCAATATGCCACTGTCTTGTCTTTTTATAGACTAGCACAGCTGTTCCTCCAAAACATGTCCCATAGGAATTATGATCTATACAGATGTATGTATTTTACATTCCAGAAATGATATAGAAACCAGATGAAAACAACAGTGGTGGGTGGAATACAAGAGGTTGTTTAAGGTCGCTTGTGTCCCTGTTCAATGTTACAGCACTAAGCTAAAGCCATTTTCATTAGAAACCCTTTATATCCCTTCCATGAAGCAAACTGCATGGACTATGTGCAAATAGTCTCTTTCTTTATAAAGAGATTCAGAAGCAAATATGAATTTGCTATAAAGCAAGTATCAAAGAGCTCATGCTGAATTCTTTGTAAATTAAGCTTTCACATCTGAGAGTTTAACAAAAAAACAAGGAAAGGAAATGACAAAACCAAAATTATTTTATTTACTATAAATATTTTTAGCCTGCCTTTCTCCTTAAGAAGATGGCTTACATCATTGAAAGCCAATATTTAAAGCAAAAGACAGTAAATATACTAATACTAAAAAGGACTGAACAAATACCACACTAACAAATGACAAATAAAAGTGGAAACAAAACCACATTCAAACCGGTAAGGTACAATTACCCCACTCAGGCCATGAGTCACTAAGGGGAAGCTTGCTGAAGAGAAAGATCTTCGCCTGCTTGTGGAAGATTAGCAGAAATGGGGCCAGCCTGGCCGCCTCTGAGAGAAAGTTCCAAAGTCTGGGAGCAGCAACAGAGAAGGCCTTCTCCCATGTCCTCACGTTAAGGGAACACCAGTAATGAATAACTCGAATAATGGCCCAAATCCTTAGTTATGCTCTCAAGTCAAGCCCAAGCAATGTAACATCTGGAGGCAATTTTCCTCAAGCTAAGGAATTCCCCTACACATGAGCTGCTGTGCATTGAACAGCATGCAACACATATCAACAGAGTTTTCTTAACTTGAGGCAACTCACCTGCAGAACTTACATTATTCGTATTATATCGGTGTAAAATAGGATATTCTCCAATATGTTTCTGTTTCTTATCTATTCACCTCTTTTAAATGAAACCTTGGTGGGATCCTCCCATTGATCATTTTGTGTACAATCTGCTATGTCACCCTGTTGGCATGCCCAGTTCTCTCACTCTTTCCTCCAGGCTTGGTTTACAGTTCCCTGATCATCCTTGTTGCCTTCATTATATACCACTCCATAGTGCTTAAAGCACTGTCTAGGAGGTAGTTTACAATTTAATTATGCAGCCTACCCCCACCCCCAGAAGCTAGGTAGTTAATTTACCAACTTCAGAAGGATGGCAGGCTGAGTGAACCTTGAACCAGCTACCAGGGATTGAATCCAGGTTGTGAGGAAAGTTTTGGTTGCAGTACTGCAGTTTAACCACTGCACCTTAAAGAAGTTCTTTTTTTGCAGAGATGGGGCCAAGCCAGCAAAATTTTCCATACAAAGAATGGGGAATAATTCATGAGTCAATTGCTGTTTGTACAGAGGAAGTTTGGTTTCTTTTGCTCCTCATAGAAGTTTATAATCTTTAACAGTTATTTCCAAATTCTAAACAATTGATGTTCAGAATTAAGACAAACATTGGCACTGACTTTGCCCATAATTTATGACAAATTGTGAAATACGATGCTTTTACCACGACAGGCCTTTGCATTTTTTAAAAAAAAATATTTGCTTCCTGCACACACAATTTACGAAGGGAAGCCATTATTAGAGCAACATTTAATGCACAACATCATGAACAGAGGATCAGTGGACATCCTTAAACCCATTTGTAAACGAGTCTTTGGCTGCAATCCAGCCTGCTGCTAAACAGGCTTAAGCCTCACTTATTTAAATGAGGTTTAAGTGTGTGTAACTGTGAACTGGATTGTAGCTGTTGTCAATAGCTGATGTTTACCCGATACATAAGACATTGGGTTCTCATAATGATGTGCTTGTCATATTTAAAGTTTGAGCAGTGCCCTTAATGAGATATCCTCTCCAAAGAGCTGAAACCTGAAATGGAAAACAGATGATTGTTGGTTGCTGCTGCTTTCTGACTTAGAAAAAAAACAGGGGGCAAGAAAGAATATGAGGGAGGTTCAGAGTCTAGAAGCAGCAACAGAGAAGGCCCTCTACTGTGTCCCCACCAAACATACCTGTAAAGGTGGTGGGACTGAGGGAAAGGCCTTCCCTGATGGTATAGAAATAATGCCCACTGAATGCCCTGACTTTGTTGATTTAGGCTGTCCAAACATGAGGAGACACCTTGATGAAGAATTTTCAAGTATTCAAGATTCAGCATCTCTGAACCCAAAGCAAGAAAGAGAATTTATTTTCCCTCCAAAATCTGTGCTATTCGCGCAGAATGCTCCCACGCTTCTCAGTCCTACGACCCCCTTTACAGACTTGCTCCAGAATATGACAATGTCCCAAGTCACAGGGTTTGCCTTTGATGTGGTTGACAAATGACTCTAAATCTGGATATCCAAGGGTTAACAGATCACGATTCAGTTCTTCTATTAATTACCCTCCAGGAGGGCTTGGTGATACCTATTGTTCATGTTCTTTGTTAAAGGCTTTCAGAAGAGTCATACTTACTTGTTTGAAAGATGTGCTCAACTTATACATTGCACAAAGCACATTATTAAAAAAAAATGAATTCCTTAAGTCCCAAAAGTTCTTTGACAGATCACACCTCCTGTAGTTTGAAAATTAGCCTAATTTGCTTTGTAACTATGCCTCACCAGGAGGTATACGCTACCTTTGATTGGATGTATGGCTGCTCACACACAAAGGTCTGTCAGGAAGGCAGGCAAGCTTAGCAGGGTTGGGTGAAAAAAATGTGTTCTCCCAACCCTCTTTATAGGCCAGAAAGAGAGAGACCCAAAATGGCTGGTTTGGGCCATTACAAAGTAAACAGGAAATCCCTGAATGTACATGTTGGGGTGGGGGTAGGGTTCCAGCTGTATAGTGTGGGAGATCGCCATTTTAGGTTTTTTAAAAAGGTATATTTTAAAACATATATATGTTTTTACCCTAGAGAGTCTGTATATAGCCTGAACTTTGTCCACCTGTTCATCATCATCATCATCTTAGAACTGCAGAGCTAGAAGGGACCGTATGGATCATTGAGTCCAGCCCGTCAAGAAGGCATGGTTGGGAATTGAACTCCCAACTTCTGGCTCTCCAGTCAGATGCCTAAACCACTGAGCTATCCAGCAATTCTAGAACATCAACATGATTTCACTTTCCAGTTGTGTGTCATCTTAAAGGATAATTTGACCTGTATTTTTCCCAGTCTGGCCACGTTTCCTTTTAACTTAAAAGGAAACATTTCCTTTTAATATAAAAAACTTAAAGAACACTCTTGTTAGTGTGGACACCAGCTATGATGGCTAATGGATTCTGGGAGCCATAGTCCCATATAATTATTTTTTTTTCCTGAACTCTGATCTTGGCCCTCACTTAAATACACTGGAACTCTCTCTGACATGAACTGACAGACATTTAGCCACCTGGGAAAAAGAAGAAGAAAGGATTGAGGATTCCACATTCATGCTGACAAAAGAGAGCATTCTGAACAGCCATTTGATGGCTTTAAACATTTCCAGGAAGGAGTGGATGGATCACTCCATTTCCATATTGTGTCAGCTTCATATGTGATGGTTTAGAAGCTTGTTCTTCTCCATGTCCATATTAACCTGTGTTGTTTTTAAAAAATCATGAAAGTGCCACAAAAATACAAAATTTGATTCCTAAGGGCCAAATTCCTGTTGGGCATGTCTACCTGCTCAACAGGGATGATGTTTTCATCAGCGGCAGGCAGCTCTGTCAGTGGCTTCCTTTGACAGTTTTAGGGCATGGATAGCTGGCACACTGCGCAAGGTCAGGTGTACCCAACATTGCAAAACGAAGTCCTTAAGCTGTGGCAATGCGCCATTGTCAACGTCGTCATTCTTGTCATGCTGTGGACAAAGTGTAACAACTACCATGGAATGTTTCTGAGCTAAGAACTGAATTGGAATGTTTGGGCAAGTGTAAAAAAAGAAACATAACTGCATAGCAATCCATGTATTTTGTCTGCCAGGAGTGAAGATCCATAGGCTGAAAAATGTGAAACTAGCAAAATCCTTAGCCATCCTTGCCTTAGGAGGAGGTTAATCATCACTCTCCTCTTCCCTCCATTTGCCAGCACACAGCAGTATATTTACCTTCTTCATAAATATGTGAAAGGAATTAATGCAGATATTCCGGCAATGTTTTGACTGTGTAAGGCACCATATGTGTTATGCATTATTCTCATTTGCATCCAACAGTGAAATCAGACTGGTGCTCTGTTAAAAATGATGCCACACAATATACCAAGAAACCCTTACACGTTGACTAACAAAAACCCTTCCCTGTTGAGACAATGGTCAAGCCAACCATCATCAGCATGCTGCGCAATGCCAGGAAATACACGGAACCTTTCATTTCATAACGAGACAGTATCCTTCGTTCTAGAGGCACTGGTCTTAAGAGAAATCCCAAGTTTGGTGCAGAATAAAGCAGTTGGAATATTCGTGCTTTTTCTCTCTCTCCCGTTCCCCCCCCCCCAACAAAACAAGTTTGTAGCTCGCAGGGCTTCAAAAGGCAGAGCTTGCCAACTGCAGACAATGTGAGATGAATCTCAAAATGAGCGGAGGGAAGGGACTGGCACATACAGAAAAGAACCCACCATCTAGGAAAGCATGTGCCTTAGGATCATAGCACGGCATGCATTTTATTCAGCATTCAGAACCTGAATGAATGAAAATGATTGTAATATGCCTCTGTAAGGGACCAAACTAGACAGAATTCCTGTTATGCACCGGACAAAGTGTAACAGCCATGATGGAATATTTCTGAGCTAAGCGCTGAATCAAAATGTTTGAAGAAGCCATGATTGGGTCTCAAAATCATGACAAAAGGTATTAGGAGGGACTCAACTCCATATAGAAGGAGCAACGTGCCTTGTAGGTCAAAAGTTGTAGGCAAGTTTGAGGGGCTGAGTCATCCCTCTCTCCTTCCTCTGCCTCCACATTATTATTCTATGATCTTTTCTCAAAGCTAAATATGCCCAGTTCTTTCCAGTCTTTCCTCGTAGGGCTTGGTTTCCCATCTCCTTATCATCTTTGTTGCCCTCCTCTGAACTTGCTCCAATTTGCTGGAATCCTTCTTAAAGTGCAGTGTCAAGAACTGGACACATGCTAACCAGTGCTAGATAAAGGAGGATTAGTATCAAGCAGACTTTACATTGCAAGAGCATATAAAACATCCAGATCTTGATATCTATGGACAGTATCCTGTTGGCTGCATTCCCTCCCAAGGCAGCCTGTCCTTTGCTTGATCAGTTGTACTTTGGTTGTGAAACTGATTGTGTAACCAATGATGCAAAAGTGAGCCCATCGGAAGGTTAAAAATTGCTGCATGGCCACCCTTGCACACACACATTTTCTCAAAAAGATTCTGACCTTCAGGTTTTCACACCCAGGTCAGACATTTTCCAGAGCCTGGTGAAACAAATAGTTATGGGCAGATGTACAGAAAACTCAGGGACAAAAGCATCAAGCAGTAAGAAGAGTCCATGTGTTTTCTCTCTGCCCAATCATTCCTTCCCCATACCAGCTTGTTGTTGTTTAGTCGTTTAGTCACGTCCGACTCATTGTGACCCCATGGCCCTCCTGGCTTCCACTGCCTCCCGGAGTTTGGTCAAATTCATGTGGGTCGCTGCGATGACACTATCCAACCATCTCATCCACTGTTGTCCCCTTCTCCTCTTGCCTTCACTCTTTCCCAACATCAGGGTCTTTTCCAGGGAGTCTTCTCTTCTCATGAGATAGCCAAAGCATTGGAGCCTCAGCTTCAGGATCTGTCCTTCCATTGAGCAGTCAGGATTGATTTCCTTCAGAACGGATAAGTTTGTTCTCCTTGCAGTCCAGGGGACTCTCAAGAGCCTCCTCCAGCACCACAATTCAAAAGCATCAATTCTTCGGTGGTCAACCGTCTTTGTGGTCCATCTCTCACTTCCATATCACCTTACATGGGTAGAAATCAAGGGTTTAGTATACAAGTGGGCCGCTGAGTGAGTTGTTCTGGACTCAAACACACAACAAATGAAATCCTATACATCTCACTAGAGAGTAACACCCCTCCCTAGGTAAATGAACATCTATTCCATTGCTTTGCTAGCCAGGGCTCCTCAGAAACAGTGATATTGACTTGGGATAATACCCACTAATTAATAATGCCGATTTCACTGGAATATGTAAACAAGCCCTTAATTGCCTCTTGTTCTAGCCAAATTCCTTTGTAGGGCTGTAATTTGCAGATGACCCACTTGGTGAATTTTCAGTTTTATGAAGTCAATCCTCTCCCAGAATTTTATGAACTCCTCAATTCTCAATTAGCTCATAAAGATCTGGAAGACCCCGTTCTACTAATTATCTCCTACACATCTTTCTCAGCAGAAGGGATCTCTTTTCCCCCTCCCCCTCTTTTAAATCACACCTAATGGCTTTCCTTTGAATGCCCCTCAATATGACAAGAGACGTCAGCTTAAAGCCCATCACTTTGCCGTATATCACGGTAAAAATGGGGATAGCCGATTTAAAGACTGGAGAATCTTTTATTGCAAACATCAATCACAGTGAAGCTTTGCAGAAGATCTTTCAAAATACACAAACAGCTATTCATCAGAACACTTATTTGTCACATGGTTAAATTCCCACCATTACTATTATTGCTCCTGTTATTTCAAACGCATTGTGGTTTATGATCTGGTGTTTGTTTGCGGGATGCTCCTCCCCTCCTCCCATTTTCAGTGCAAATAACAATATGGGAAGAGCCTTGCTGGATTAGACAGAAAGCCCCCCCCCCCGCCGTCCAGCTCTATATTCCCCCTAAGGCCTGACGAGATGCCTACCAGAACCAAACAGGCAGGACGTGAGTGCA